AAAGTCACTAGGGCTGGCTCTGAAATGACTGATGTTGAGAAGGAAGAGGGTGATGCAATCTCTGGGAGTAGGGAATTCATCATTTATTTTGGAAGCAATACCTGGGGAAAAAAAAGAACTGCTGGCAAATCTTTATATTCACGTTATTAAGCAGGCCAAGGATACTTATTGAGATGTGAAATGCTTGCTAGAGATGATGTAGTTGTATGGATTTTAAAACTTTTATATAGCTACAAATCTGCTGCTTGAAATACTGGACAGTTACACACGTGAGGCCCAGTTAGGCAAAGAAGGGAGCACCATTTATCTAAAAAGATGCTCCGCCTTGTGCTATTAAAGCCTGAATGTATATTATAGTTGACAGTTCAATGTCAGGTGATTCTTGTACATGCGAGAAGAAAAACTTATAAAAAAGAATAGCAACTAACAAATCTGAAGAAAGTTAAAAATTTAAATATTGTATAAAATAATTTCTGTTTTTTTTTCTATTATAGGAAACATATAGCTGGTCATGTCAGCCAAATAAATTCCCAACACTGTGTTAGATACTATACTGGACACAAAAGAAATCCTGGCCCCAGTGCACTTATGAACCAGCTGGAGACTCAAGCTCTATGTGCATGAACAACTAGAGAAAGGCTCCAGAAAGGATGGTGTGCCTGGTAAGAAACTTGGTCTTGTGGTGGGATGAGAACACAGGGGAGCTCACAGAGGAGCCAGAAGGAATATGTGGGTAGTCAGGGATGGAGTCAAGAACTCCAAGTTGGAGTTAGGAACCCTGCCCTAAAGGTCAAGGTGGGGGAGCCTTTCAAGGAGGGACCTATGTCGAGAAGGTCAAGAATGGGGCTAAAGAATGGATGCTGAGTTACAAGGCTCCAAGAGACCTCTGTAAACAGCAATGTCAGGAAGCTGAGGGTTTACCAGCTGGGGCACAAAGAGTGGAGATGGTATGAGTGGTGAGAAAACTCGGGTACTGGTATAGTCATCCTTCATTATAATCATTTCACAAATAATGAGTGCCAATTTGGGACAAAATTCTGTGGATGCACAGATAAAGTCTGTCCTTGGGGTATACCAGGCTGGTGGGGGGGATCCAGATGGACATCACTCATATGAAGCAGAGGAACACAGATTCCCATGTAAATTCAGAGAAAGGAGAATTCTCTGGCTAGGGAAATGAGGAGGGTTGCAAAAAGGGGTTAGAGGATTTTGTATGGCTGACTTGGAGTCTTGAAAGGAATTTGGTAGAGAAAGAAATAGAAGGAAGAAGAAGGTGATTAAAAGAGGCAGTAAAACTTAAAGCTTTTGTATTTCCTTTTTTTGCTCAGCAGAAAATTTACAAAGGTATGGGACCAACAAAGCACACGGCAAATCCAATTTTCCAAGCTAACAGAGAAAGGATAGGGAAAAAGAGCAGTGGAAGCAGCAGAATCCTCAGAATCTGCTCCCAGCTAGCTGAGAGGGGACACAATCCTAGAGCTTGTTCTTTGTACAATGGAGCACCACTGACCACACAGTGTCACTGTGAAGATGATTTGAGTGAGTCACAGTGTGCCTTGTAGAGTGACTATAGTAATTGCTCAATAAAAGGTCTTTAACACTGTCAAAATCTGGGTAGCCAAAGATGGGCAAATGCTCCTAGAACTGAGAAATATATTTAACTTTCTTTTTTCTCATTTTTCTTCTCATTCCTATAGCCACCTTCCACTTACCTAACTTGATAGATAAAGAAGCTATAAAACAGGTAGGAATTTAGCAATGCAGATGGTATCACCAGTAAAAAGCCAATAATGATTCAGGCTTGTATGAGTTTATTAGTTCAAAGCTATTCTTTTACCAATGGACCAAAAGAAGTAAGGAGGAAGCGAGATGAAAAATCAAGGGGGAAAATAAGGAAAAAGAAAGCCAATAGGGTACAAAGAATATTTGGAAAAAAGTTCTGCAGATGGATACCAACTAGATCAAAGATCAAAGAAAACATGGTTGTGGTGTGCTTGGTGGGATTAATTAAGAAAAAATTAACTCCATTTTGAGGAAGTGCCTTGAAAAGGTAAGGATTTAACTTATAGGTCTTTGAAAGAATGATTAAAACTAAAGCTGGTTTAGGGCCTCTGAATAAAACATTCAATGGTTGGAGAGAAAACCCAGATGATTACATATTAAATATATACACCTTTTTATACTCCCTTTCCCACAAAGAAAAAATAACAAAATAAAAAAGATGAAGTGTATTTCATTATAATAGTGAATACTTTAGTGATTATTCTTTGACAACCACAGTTTGAAGTATTTAACATGTACTAATTCATTTAATCCCCATGCAGGAAGATGTAATCATTATTATCATTTTACCAAGATGGAGACTGAGGTAGAGAATTTAACTTGCCCATGATCACATAAGTGGCTAGGTTGTGGCTCAGTGGCAGAGTACTTGCCTAGCACGTGTGAGGCACTGGGTTTGAACCTCAGCACCACATAAAAATAAATGAATAAAATAAAGGAATTGTGTCCATCTGCAAATAGAAAAATATTTTTAAAAAATGGGATTACATCCCTGTCAATTAAAACAAACAAACAAACAAACAAAACCACTGTGCCAAATTGTGTTGCACAGTTATCCTCAGCCCAGTCACAAACTCTGAGTGGAGTTACCCTTTTGTGGAACAAATTTAGGGCATCAACAGTAAGAATAAGACAAAGAATCATTACTATTAAGAAAATAGTAACTTTGGATAGACAGCAGACAGTTCTTTAAAATTCACATGTGAATTTATCTGTTAAGTTTGAGGGATACAAAATTAGAAAAAGTTACATGGATGTGAGTGGCATTTCAAAGATGAGTCAAGAGATTTAAAAGGCAATAAACATCGATGTGGCAGTATCCCTGTAGTACGCTCTTTTAAGGTCTTCAGGGAATAGTCCGAGAAGGGCAATAGCTGGGTCAAATGGTGGTTCCATTCCCAGCTTTCCCAGGAATCTCCATACTGCTTTCCAAATTGGCCGCACCAATTTGCAGTCCCACCAGCAATGTACAAGAGTACCCTTTTCCCCACATCCTCGCCAGCACTTGTTGTTGTTTGACTTCAGAATGGCTGCCAATCTTACTGGAGTGAGATGGTATCTTAGGGTGGTTTTGATTTGCATTTCTCTGACTGCTAGAGATGGTGAGCATTTTTTCATGTACTTGTTGATTGATGGTATGTCCTCCTCTGAGAAGTGTCTGTTCAGGTCCTTGGCCCATTTGTTGATTGGGTTATTTGTTATCTTATTGTCTAATTTTTTGAGTTCTTTGTATACTCTGGATATTAGGGCTCTATCTGAAGTGTGAGGAGTAAAAATTTGTTCCCATGATATAGGCTCCCTATTTACCTCTCTTATTGTTTCTCTTGCTGAGAAAAAACTTTTTAGTTTAATTAAGTAAGTCCCATTTGTTGATTCTTGTTATTAACTCTTGTGCTATGGGTGTCCTATTAAGGAATTTGGAGCCCGACCCCACAATATGTAGATTGGAGCCAACTTTTTCTTCTATCAGGTGCAGTCTCTGATTTGATATCAAGCTCCTTGATCCATTTTGAGTTAACTTTTGTGCATGGCGAGAGAAGGGGATTCAGTTTCATTTTGTTGCATATGGATTTCCAGTTTTCCCAACACCATTTGTTGAAGATGCTATCCTTCCTCCATTGCATGCTTTTAGCCCCTTTATCAAATATAAGATAGTTGTAACTTTGTGGATTAGTCTCTGTGTCCTCTATTCTGTACCATTGGTTCACCCGCCTGTTTTGGTACCAGTACCATGCTGTACCACATGTACCACATCGATGTTCACAGCAGCACAATTCACAATAGCTAGACTGTGGAACCAACCCAGATGCCCTTCAATAGATGAATGGATAAAAAAAATGTGGCATTTATACACCATGGAGTATTACACAGCACTAAAAAATGACAAAATCATGGAATTTGCAGGGAAATGGATGGCACTAGAGCAGATTATGCTAAGTGAAGCTAGCCAATCCCTAAAAAACAATTGCCAAATGTCTTCTTTGATATAATGAGAGCAACTAAGAACAGAGCAGGGAGGAAGAGCAGGAGGAAAAGATTAACATTTAATAGAGACATGAGGTGGGAGGGAAAGGGAGAGAAAAGGGAAATTGCATGGAAATGGAAGGAGACCCTCATTGTTATACAAAATTACATATAAGAGGATGTGAGGGGAATGGGAAAAAAAAAACAAGGAGAGAAATGAATTACAGTAGATGGGGTAGAGAGAGAAGATGGGAGGGGAGGGGAGGGGGGATAGTAGAAGATAGGAAAGGTAGCAGAATACAACAGTTGCTAATATGGCATTATGTAAAAATGTGGATGTGTAACCGATGTGATTCTGCAATCTGTATTTGGGGTAAAAATGGGAGTTCATAACCCACTTGAATCTAATGTATGAAATATGATATGTCAAGAGCTTTGTAATGTTTTGAACAACCAATAAAAAAAATAAAATAAAAGGCAATAAAAATTAGATCTAGCAAGTAAAGCTTATCCAAATGTCCACTTGGAATAACATGAGGCAGCAAATTTCCTGATAAGAATACATACGACAGACCCTGATGCTGAGTAGAAATAAAACCCCAGGAACTTGCAGGCAGTATGGCTGTTACCATAATCATGCATTGCGTGTGGGGTGATGTTTCATATCTTAATGCTATTTGTCTCCTCCTAGGAACGACCCTTAAAAGAATAAGACTGAATATTCAGTTTAAAAGTGATATAAAATCTAAGATACTGTTATTGTGAAATACATTCATATAGTTAAACGAACACAAATCAAGGGGATGCACACCTTGCAGTTCATAATTATGGAAGCATAGCCTTTTTGAAGGCAGAGAAGGTGAAGCTTCCCTCAAATCCCACCACAACTGATAGTAGGGCACAGGAAGTGCTGTAGAAGGGTGGAAGAGGTGATCTTAGAATCCAACAGTAGCAGCTGTCCCAGTGACCATCACCTGTTTGGCTTTCTTTGAGGGGGCAGGAACTGGAGCTGTCTCTTGCTGTGTCATTTCTGTATCTCCTTCTTCACCATCTGATGCATCTAGGAAATACAAAGTTTGAAAATTAGAAAAGCGTCTCTCTCTTTCATACCCTGGTACCTCCTTTCTAGGAGGTTCTCTCTTGACTTTGTAAGGAAATGACCTAAAATGAAGGCAGTGATTTAAGCACTAAGATGTCAGTCTTATTTATAAACTAAAAAAACGAAGATTACCTACCTAGATGCCGAACATTAAAGAATGTTTATTTATGGAATACTCATACAAGGGAACTTTTTGCAGCCTTTGAAACATGTTTACTAAGAGATTACAATGAAAAAAAGCCATCTTATGATGATATAACATATAACAATGCTTAATAAGGGTGGTTCTGTTCACCTATAACAGGTGAACAGAACCACCCTTATTAAGCATTGTTATATGTTTAACAATGGGCTTCATAAATAGAATCTTCGATATCTAATTATCTAATTCTTGTAACTATTGATTTTATAGACATGACCCCCAGCCTTTCAGATAAGAAAACTGTTGTTTAAAGAGGTTATTTTTGTTAGTTTTACCATTGCTGTGACCAAAAGACCTGACAAGAACATGTAGAGGAGGAAAACATTTTGCATTGTTTTACACATAAGCTTTTGGGGGACACTTCATATATAAACCATAATAGAAGTGTTTTGTTCCAGGTCACACACCTGGGAGCACAGTTGAGTCTAAAGTCAGACATTGCAAGCGACTGCTCCACTGAGCATCAGACAGTCCTTGATACCTAGGTGTTGGTTGCCAGGAAAATGTTAAGAGACTATGACAAAGGATTATAGCTCATGATAAATTCCTATTTTGAATTTACTTATCTTTCCATAATGGAAAAAGACATTCTTATACTAAGGATTAGGAAAAATAAAAGTTTTCCTATAGAGCTCTCCTGAAAAAACATGGCAACCAGAAGGTTCTTACTTCTTATGATGCCATTACTGCCTTTAAGGTTCTAGTGGTTTCTCCCTTTAGACAAATTTTTGGTCTTTTTTTTTGGTCCCAGGGATGGAACCCAGAAGTGCTTAACCACTACGCCACATCCTCTGCCCTTTTAAATATTTTATTTAGAGACAGGTTCTCCCTAAGTTGCTTAGGGCCTCACTGAATTGCCGAGGCTGGCTTCTAACTCATGATTCTCCTTCCTCAGCCACTGGAGCCACTGGGATTACAGGCGCCCGGCAAATTTTGGTCTTTAAAAGGCTTGATTCATTCTCTTTAGGTATCTTTATATATCTCAAAGTGAGTCCAATGTGTAAATTTGTGATCAACTTGGTCAGAATTCATATTTAGGTCAAAATTAGTAAGTTTAGTTGGTCAGAGCTTATAAATAGTTGCATTTTGTGCCCAATCTAATGGGTCCCAGAGTGTTCAGATTCTTGTCAAAAGTTATTTTGGATATTTCTGAGACTATTTTTGGAGACATTAACATTTAAGTGGGTTGACTAAAAAAATTTTCAAAATTCCTGTTTTTAGCAGTACTGTTGTTCTTTCATATTTAAAATAACATCTTTTATACCTAATTCTGTATCTGTAATTCTGCGTTCTTTTTCTTAGAGAGGGTTCCCCAAATTGCGTAAGGTTTGGGCCTCATAAAAACTTAGATTTTCCCTGGCTAACAACCTCGCTGATCTCATATTTGAGAACGGAATAAAACAAGCTATGGAAACACACAACAACATGGATAAATTTTCAAAGCATGGTGCTAAGTAAAAGAAGTCAGACTCAATGAGCTATATAATGTATGATTCCATGTATTTAACATTCTGGGAGAGGCATAACTATAGTGACAGAAACAGGTCTGTAGTTACAGGAGATTGGAGGAGGGGACTTCTTGGTTGCAATGGAAATGTTCTATATCTTGATTGTGGTGGTGGCAACACTACTGTATGCATTGATCATAATCAAAGAAGTGAACTGTAAATCTTAACATATGTAAATTATTCTTCAGAAAATATGATAGAAGCTAATTTATAACACTTGCTCAACATCACACATCTATTGGCAGAGCTGGTATTTGAACCCCAGATATTCTAATCTGAGAGTTCGTGATATTAATCCAACACTACTACCCTTACCTCAAAACATGCTGCTTACAGTTCATTAGGTTCCTGTATTCTTCTGCCAAGAGGTCTCTTGGTTGCTTTTATTTTTAAATAATGAATAAGAGTAGAATATAATGCCATGCTTTTTGTTTGCATTCATTGAGATGATCATATTTTTTCCCCTTATAATCTGTTAACATGATGATGCAAGAATAGGTTGACAATGGTAAACCATCCTTGTTATTTCCAGGATAAACCCCAACTGGTTGTGTTAGTTTAATAGATTTTTTTTCCATCAATGTTTAAAAGTCAGAATGACATAATTTTCTTTTCTAGTATTTCCCTTGTCTGCTTTAGGTTTTGAGGTTATAGAATATCTTTCATAAAAGATCTGGGAAATTTCTTCTTTTTAAAATTCTCTGAAATAGTTATATACAGTTGAAATTGTATGTTACTTGTTATTTGGTGAAATCTGTCAGAATAACCAGCAAAGTGTATTAGTATTCTTTGTGTGTATATTTTAAATTAATGCTTCAACGTCTAATGGTTATATGATTATTCAGATTTTTCTATCTATTCTTAATTCAGCTTTGGTCAGCATTATTTTTTTCTTGTTAATTGGCTATTTTATATAAATTTTCAAATTTACTGGGAAGAGTTCATCATTATATGTGCCTATTTCTCCTTTTCCCTTCATTTTATTTGAATCTTTTTTCTTTTTAAAATTTTTTAAAAAAATATATTTTTAGTTGTTGATAGATCTTTATTTCGTTTATTTATATGCAGTGCTGAGAATCGAACCCAGTGCCTCACACATGCCCCGCAAGTACAGTAATGCTGAGCCACAGCCTCAGCCCTGCATCTTCTTTCTTCTTGCTAGAGAGCTTTCTTTTTCAAAACCAGGTTCTTCATTTATTGATATTTTATACATAGCTATGATTTCATTTATAAGAGTGGAACTTATTTTCTGAATGTTTTCTTTATTGATTTTGTAATATTTTGTGGTTGGGCATTTATTTAGTCCATTAGTGTTTCTGATATAAGCATCAAAGCTATACACTCCTTCTTGAAATAATTTAAGCTAAATAGCATTTTTATTATCATTGAATTGTAAATGTGTTAAAGTTTCTGAAGTTTTCAGCTTGAGCTGCCCAGTAAAATACTACAGACTGGTTTAAATGAGACATACTTATTTTCTTATGGTTCTGGAGGCTGGAAGTTGAGATGGGGGTACCAACATGGTCAGGTTCTGGTGAGGACTTTCTTCCTGGCTCGCTGAAAGCTGACTTCTCACTGTGTCCTCACATGGTAGGCAGAGTGAACCAGCTCTCTGGTGTGTCGTCATAAATGTACATATTTTATCCTGGGGGCCACATCCTTATGACCTCATTTAACCTCATTACTTCCCCAAAGCCTTATCTCCAAATACCATCATACTGATTATTAGGGGAATACAAATATTTAGTTCATAATGTTTTCCCTTACAACTTTTCTTTGGTCCACTAGTTATTAAGAAGTACATATATATTTTTTTAGGGATTTGTTTATTTATTTTGTTAATTGTGCTGTATATGTGTAATAAGAATTGTAATGCATTCTGTTGTCATTTTTTTAAAGCGCGCGAGAGAGAATTTTAATATTTATTTTTTAGTTTTTGGCGGACACAACATCTTTGTTTGGATGTGGTACTAAGGATCGAACCCGGGCTGCATGCATGCCAGGCGAGCGCGCTACCACTTGAACCACATCCCCAGCCCTGTCATTTATTTTTTAAAAAATCAATAAAAAATAAATTTCCTGGGAAAAGTGGATTATCTTTACATTTGTATAATTGCCTGTTTATCTCCCAAGAAGTATATTTTTAGATTGCTAAACATATTTTAAAAAAGTCATCCTTTTGTTGCATTGTGGTTAGAAAACAATGAAAAAAGAAAAGTGGCCTATATATATTCTTTAAATTTTTTTTTTTAAATTGTAGATGGACACAATGCGGTGCTGAGGATCGAACCCAGTGCCTTACATGTGCCAGGCAGGTGCTCTACCACTGAGTTACAAACCCAGGCCCTACATATGGATTCGCCCTACATATGGATTCTTTATCATTTGTCAAGACTTGCTTCATTGTCCAGCACAGGAATTTGGCAAACTTTTTGGGTAAAGCACCATATAATATGTAGATGTTGGGTTTGCAGAGCATTAAGGCCACTGTTGTTATGGTTCTACTCTGCTGTTGTGCTGTGAGGCAGCCTTGGGCAATGGATGTAGATGGTAATGGCTTTGTACTGATACATTTAATTTACAGAAACTCATCCTGGTTGGATTTGGCCCCTGTGCCATAGGACATAGTGAATTTTTAAAAATGTCTCAGGGTTTTTGAAAACCCTGAGATTCCAAAGTATGATCATAGACAAACTTGTTATGTTTTTTGAAATCTGTTCTGTTTATGATTTTTTTGTGCTTTATCAGTTAAAAGGTATGTATTAACATCTTCTCATTTTGAATTTGTCCATATTTTCTAGTGATTCTACATATTTCATTATTTTATCTGGCACATGCAAGTTCAAATGGTGAAGGCTTCCTGCTGAATTGTTCCTTTTATCATTTTGTTCTGATTGTTTAAAAAAATTACATCTAGTTTAATTTAGTTCAATTTCACTTTGAGGGGGTCGTTCTCTATTTTTAGAAGTGATCATTTGTTTTCTGGGAAAGCAATGCTATACAATCTGAAAAAGTAATGCTGGATACACAGCTGTACTTAAACAGTCTAAAGTGTTTTGCTAAAATTACTCATCTCTAGGAGCCAGAATGTTTTATTTGGCTAGGAGAACCAGCACTGGGAACTACTCTTCAAGAACCCTGTTCCCAGCTCATTAAGAGACTCCCACCAGCATTACTGAGAAAGAACACAATTCCCACATCGAAAGAACAGGGCCCTGAGACTGAACTCTGTGAAGGCCGCAAGGCCATGC